TACCAGGGAGCACTGGACTGATTAAATGGCAGAGGGACGTGCTGATGGTGCCCAGGGCAAACTTGGTAGCCCAAGTATCCAGTGCAGGATGAAGCAGACACGTGAGTCCCAGAGCTGGCTCCCATTGGCCGAGGAAGTCAAGGCTAGAAGATAAAGTTTGACTAGCTGGAAGGATATTTCCTCGGAGAGGGGAGGCACAAGAAAGCAAAAGTTTGTGCATGCTGCAAGGAGGTGCGAACCTACTAAAAGCAACAGAGCCAATAAGCCAGAGCCAGGAAAGGAGAAAGTGAGTGCTTCTACAGGTCAGGTGGTGTAGAGATCTGCATCAGGGCAAGGGAGGAACTGAAACCAGTGAGCCAAATTGGACTTAATCAATTTAGTGAAATGTAGAAGAATTAATTAGTGTGAAGGCTGAGGAGCTGGTTTATAGTCTGGCTGGCTCAGGTATGAAATATATAGGAATGGATTAATTAGTGGATGTAGTAACTCATCAATGACTGAGTTTAAGTAATGGAAGAGGATGCATTGACAAGGTATAGGGAAATTTGCTAGTTGGAAAAATATGAATAATGATATTGTGTCTGATAGTGGATGGACTGTAAATATTAGTTAATGTACAGTGCTTCCCAACTAATAGATGCTACATCAGACAGTAAAGGGTTTGTTAATTGGAATTAAAAAATGTATAATGTTTAATGACTGATAGATCAAGAATATGGCTAGAGTTGAGTATGGATGAACTCATTAATTGATGAGTGAGGGAAAACAATTCAACTGAAACTTTTAAAGGAAAATAAGGGCCAATTAGGGAAGGATCCAGTGGTGGCCAACTCCCTGGGTAATGAAGTAAAAACTTACTGAGTGTTGTGAACCCATAAAGAATGGGCCAATAGTGGTTGCTTCTTGTGAACCAGAGACTAGAATAACTGGCTAACAACCAGTCACAATCACACTCATTGTAAGGGCAAGCCCAAAGCAGAACACAGGTCAGTGCCTGAATAGGCGTGGTAAGGGCAGGGTGTACAGGCAGGGGAGCCCTGTGAAGAAAATCTACAGTTCTATCCTAAACACTAAGGATACAGGAAGATCTCACCTCCCTTTTTTCTCCTCTTTACGCTTTTTTCAAATTTCAAGGCACGGTGGCCAAGCATTAAGGGAGGTAACCCTAAGTGAATGGGAATAGGGGCTGCCCCAGTCACAAGCAACTTTGGGTCTGTGAACCCAAACTGGACTGGCCCCAGATCTAGCACACAAGATTGGGTTGGTATGGGTACCATGTACAGCACACATCCTAGACTGGTCCCACATGTTGCTTGTGATACAGTCTGGCTCCAGCTTGGCAGAGCATGCAGCTCATGGGGCTTCTCTGAGGTGCATGCTGCCTGTGGTGTCATGCCAGATCAGCCCTGTGTGCTGGATTTAGCACAGAAAGCCTGCCTGTGGGCCCAATTTGGACTGGCCTTGGATCCAGTATGCAGGGCTGGTCCAGTATGGGTGTCACATGTAATACACACCCCAGACTGACCCCATGCCACGTGCAGCCCGTGCCAGGTGAACTCTATATGCTGCATGCAGTGTGCAGGGCTGGGGCCAGTATATGCTGCATGTAGCAGGCAGCACAGTGAGCCAGAAGATACAGATCTGCAGGCTGGCTATAACCCATGGCCATATCTTCGACACGCCTGAACTAACACAATGTTAAACACCATTTTGATGTCAGTATGGACAACGGCAGTCAAATTAGAAGCTGAAAATAGTAACCCAGGGTCCCAGTTTACAAGGTTTTACAATACAATTTGCACCTGCTCTAAATATCAACTAAGCCTAATTAACTTTAGGTTAGCATCATTTTTTAGCCACAATACATTTTTTCAGATATGGCCCATGACATTCATATTTTGTTATAAACAGTCATTTTAGTTTAAATGCTGATTGAACACAAATTTAGCCATCAGTGGGTGCATCTATATGTGAGCTTAAATGCAGTAGCTTATTTTATGGTGCATTAGTATGCAACAACAAAAACTGTGCTAATACACTAATGTGAGGTACAATTAGGCTACTGTGCATTACATGTCACTAAAAAAAGCATGCACTTTTGCTGCTGCACATTATGGCAGCCTAATGCGTATTTAGTTAGTACCTCACAGTAGAGGTACAAAATTGAATACGCAGTATTAAAAGCTCATAAATGAACATGTTGATGCATCCAGTATAGACTAGGACAAGTCTATAGACTTGAAATTCATAGTTTTTAAGGCCTGAACAGATCAATACCACCATTAAGGATAATGATAAAGGTAAAAATGTCTTTTAAAAACAAATCACTAACATTTAAAAATGCTCAGGTATCTGGAAAGCAGTCACTTTAATAGAAGTTAGCTGGAGGGGGTAGCACAGCTTAACTGGATCTGTTCACCACTCCTTCACTTAAAATGGGCTTTAATACACCTTAAGTGTATGAGTAGTTTTCCTCATATTTGAAAGGAAAAACATAAACCAGTGAGCCAGCTCACCAACTACCAAGTCAAAGACCACTCCCAATTGCATCAGGATTTGTCTCTCCTCTGCAGCTTTGAGGTTTATTTATTCAAAAGAAAACAGCAGACACAAGTTCTGCATAGAAACCTGGTCCTTCCCCAACCCTGGCATCTCACAAAGAAGCTGCTCTATTCCTAGCAAGTTTCAGTCTCTAGGCCAGGGTTTCCTCAACCCATACGTTTCAACCCAGAAGTAGGTTGCAAGAATATATGAAAGGGTTATGAACAATTACAAGAAAACATGGAAAATCACAGGTTTTCTCCTCTAAAGGAGAAGAACATGGGAAACTTTGGGGTTCCCCCTCCAGGCTGGCAGGGGGTTAGTTACTTAAATTATTTATTGGGTCAAGACTGACCATCAAAGGGTGCTTGTACACGTAATGGGGGTTTAATCCCCAAGGTTTTATTTTATGCGCCCTAAATTGAAACGATGGGTTTTTAATTGAAACCTGTCATTTCAATTTTTGTCATGGTACAGCAAGGGGCCCGATTCTGGGTTTTTTTGTTTTTGGTTGGAGCCAGAGCCTGCTTGCAGCTGGAGGGTGAGCAGCTGGTGGGCTGAGCGGCCTTGCTGAATGGGGCCCCAGTTCTTCCCTCTGCAGTGGCAGTGCCTTTCAGGGCTGCCCGGGTGGAGGCAACACCCAGCCTGATCCAGCTGTTCCCTGATCTCACCCTCTGGAAACCTGCTGGGTGCTGCTCCCTGGATGGGCTCAGAAAACAGCTGGATCAGGCTGGCAATTAAAGACAAGTGGATAGTACTTGGCAATTAAAAACAAGTGGATAGCAGACATTTTAAATTCCTCCTGTAACTTTTGTCAAAGAGATGTGGTGACTATTATGCATGAGAGGGGCCCTTTAAATTAAACAGTTGTATCAGCAGCATGCTTCTCCACTGGCAGGCTGACAGCACTTACTTCTCAGTGCTCCTAGCATGAAGGCTGAAGCCTTTCTCAAGGCTGAAACAGACATCTAACACCTAAAAAATTCGAGGTAGCACAAATGCTGAGCAAATAGGTGTCCTTACCCTTGATTGTGCCACATGACAGGAAAATCAGTGGCACAACCGAAGGTAGCAACAGATTTTCCCGCTTTATTACAATGACCGTTTGTTACCTTGTGGCGCTTGCCCCACTGCCCCAGATCCCCATGGGGCAGCCTGGGCAGGAGAAATCCCTGCTTTCCCTGGTGCCCCTAACCCACGCCATGGGTCTAGGGCAGCAGGGAAAAGTGTTTCACCAATCCCACCCAGCCATTCATGGGGCTGGCTGAGTAGGGAAGCACTTTTCCCCCCTGCGGGGAGGAGAACAGGGAGATCATATCACCCCTTGTCCCACACCATCAAGTGCAGGACAAGGGGAGACGTGCATGTCACCCAGTGTTTTCGGCACATTGCAGCACAGGTGAATCACTCCATTTAGCAACTTCTGTTTCTAGCCTCAATAGTGATTTTTTAACTAAGCTTCCTGAGTTCTTTACCCCTGTTCTCAACTTCCTTTCTCCCCCTTTTACAATCTAAAACTAATAGAGAGAGAGAAAGAAGTAATGGAGAAAGAAGGAAAAGAGAAGACTCCCCCACCACCCCAAAAAAAAGTTAGGTGGTGAAAATCACAAAATTCCATTTCCAAAAAATCTGAACAAAACACCACTCAGTTAGAATGATATAAGAGTCCATTTAGTGTTTAAGTGTTTATTTGAAACAATAGTTTTTAAATCACCCCAATCTGCCTTCCCCCTCAAGAAATAAAAAAAAAAATTATCAAACTTTTGGTTAAAATATTTCAACAATCTCAGTCTACCCCTCCCTACTGCCAGCAAATTGTCTTCTTTCTGATATAAGTGGACCTAACATTCACCCTAACTTCCCCAGCCCACAGAAACACCACCCACTTCCTTCCTGTCTACTGCCCCACTCTACAAGCTTTCCTTATAGCTGTGAGTAAACTGCCCATGAGACTGTGAATAACTTCAGCTGAATGAATTTACATAGGAAAAGGGAATGATTAGGAGGCAGAGCTCTTTAAGACTCCTCAGGGGTCCACATGACGCTCCTGAGAGATCTACCACATCTGTAAGTGATGGCGGATTTATTTCATCATAACATGCCCTGGAAGCCTATTCCCTTTGGCACCAGAGCTTATTTCTACTGAAAGCCATGTAAATTAACTTCAGCATCCTGCCTGGAGCTGGGATCATGGGAGTGTTGTTGGTCAGCTAAATCAGCTTGGGACTGGAGCCACGTTTCTCTTTCTTACAAGGAAGCGCTGACTGATGTTGAACCCAGCAAATGAATTTGAAGTTTGGTATTGCACTTTGTGGTTAGGCTTGATGCAGTTTACTGAAGTCTTATTTCTAAACTCAGTGTAAATTCACAGCCGGAAGTTTCAATTTCTGGGCAGTGCACAGCAATGTGAGTTAAAAACACTTCTGCAAAGTGAAAGACTTCCTTCAGCGCTTCAAAGATAGAGAGCCACATCAACTCCACCTCTGCAAACGGAAGGACAGGGTAATCTCCTCATATTGGCACGTTCAGCAAGTGCAGGAACCAGTGGCTGATGGAGCAACATCTCCTTGGTATTGAGCGCAGTTCCATGGTGGCACAAGGGCAAGAGTAACAGGCTCAGGTCAGGCTTTTTTATATGGATTCACTTTTCTATTTTTGATGACAGGGCCTGGGTTGCACTGAGGGACAGAACCAACTGGAGATGGAGAGTGTGTGTGGGGTTGGTGCTGGTCTCTGGTTCCCCACATAGTGACAGGGCTATCCTGAAGCTGGAGTGCAGCATGGTCTCATCTCTGGTGTACTGTTATACCCATCAATGGGGCCATCTCAGGACTGGAGTGTGGTGTGGGAACACTTTCAGAAGGGCTCTAATATGCACTCAGGGTACTCAAATGTGAGCTTTGTCAAGGTCACAGCTACACCCAGAGGCACAGGGTAATAAGTTTGATCAACGTGCCCTTTTTGACTGCTTGGCTGTAAATGCATCCTGAATAAAGAGGGTACCAGGGCAGGGTTGTCCCTTCCTCCCTACAGACAGACTCACCACAATGGCTGATGTTGGGTAGGCTATGCTCAGGAAGGAGCAGAGCGCCCAGAATAGGGTACGGGGTGGGTGAGGGAATGGAGGAAATGCTGGGGAGGAGCAGGGCCAGGCAGGAAGTGGTGAGATGCTGACACTGGCTGGAGCCTGCACTGCAGAACCTGGCTGTGGTAGGTCCAGTGGCTCCTGTTGCCAGTCAGGAAAAGGAGGCTTCAGAAAAAGAAAGGAAAATGCCCTGATCTGGGCCTGAGTCTAAGAGGATCTCTCTTGACCCAGTGAGATGAAGGTCTCCTCCTGGAAATGTTGCTCAGCTTCAGATCACCCTGCCCCTGAGTGATGTGCTTCTGGAGAGTCGAGCTCCTCCCCGCTCTCTCTCTTTCTCTCTCTCTGTATGCCCCCCTCCCTTGCCTTTTGTATTCTGATGTATATCTCCTTCTTATACTCCGCTTTCTGCTCGACCTTTCGCAGCTTCTGATGAAGTAAACTTGGGTTCATGAAAGCTTGTTCTCTGTCTCTATAAAGATCTTATTTAGTTAGTCTGTAAAGGTGCATATCTACCCTGCTGTCTGACTGACTTCAGACTAATATGGCTAACTACCTCTCTCTAGGCTCTCTCTAAACATCTCTGAGTCCCCGTCACCTCCGGTATCCTGGCCAATTGATCCTTCCTGTCCCTCTGCCTCTGAGCACCTAATGGCTCCCTAAAAGCTCTAGCTGCCAGGTCACACCACGCAGACTTCCCTAGGGCTGTTCAGTGTCAGCGGCACATCATTAAGAACTTGGCGCCAAAGGAAGTTCCCCTCTGTGTTGCGCGCTGTCTGAAAACCATGTCCCACAATGGGGCCAATGCAGCCTAGCCCTGACTATTATGCATGAAAAGGGCCCTTTAAATTAAATAGTTGTATCAGCGGCACATTTCTCCACTGGCAGGCTGACAGCACTTACTTCTCAGTGCTCCTGGCATGAAGGCTGAAGCCTTTCTCAAGGCTGAAACAGACATCTAACACCTAAAAAATTCGAGGTGGCACAAATGCTGAGCAAATAGGTGTCCTTCCCCTTTGCTGTGCCACGTGACAGGAGAATCAGTGGCTCAACCGAAAGTAGCAATAGATTTTCCTGCTTTATTACAATGACCGTTTTTGTGGCGCTTGCCCCACTGCTCCAGATCCCCATGGGGCAGCCTGGGCAGGAGGAATCCCTGCTTTCCCTGGTGCCCCAAACCCACGCTATGGGTCTGGGGCAGCAGGGAAAAGTGTTTCACCAATCAGTGGGGAAAGTGCAGTTTTCTCCTACCCTGCCATTCATGGGGCTGGCTGAGTAGGGAAGCACTTTTCCCCACTGCAGGGAGGAGAACAGGGAGATCATACCACCCCTTGTCCCACACCATCAAGTGGAGGACAAGGGGTGATGTGTATGTCACCCAGTGTTTTCGGCACATTGCAGCACAGCTGAATCACTTCATCTAGCAACTTCAGTTTCTAGCCCTCAAATAAATGATTTAGAACTTAACTTGACTATGTAGAACTTAAAATTGCATTTTTATTTATTTAAATCAGATTAAAAATGCATTTTTCCTTGTTTAAGAGAAACATATTGCAGTTAAATTTGAAAGCCCAATAACTTGTGTTAAGGTCTAAGCATAGGGCAATCAGCTAACTTCAACAATAATATTTAAGTTGTATGTGTGCTGCTGCTACCCTAAAGAAAGTAAAGCAACTGTGTTAGTAAAAGTCACAGGCAACACCCTTGACAGCAGAGTTCACTGAAGTGCTAAACCATGTTTTGGCTGGTTGTGCAGGTGCGGTGAGAATGGTTTCTTCATTTCAGTTAGTTCAGCTCAGTGACTGAAATCCTTCAAAGTGAAGCACAAAGCAGAATACCCATAACTGCTTTCTTTTTCCTTCCTTCAAACTATGGGTAGAAATAGACGTTGCCTGATGTTCCATTTGTGTGGCCATACAATTTTTTTTTTATGGTGGCACAGATGGTGAGCAAATAAACAAGCCTACCTTCTGTTGCACTGCCTTAGTGGCCATGACAAAAGGTAGTTTTAAACTGGGTAACTTTCATAGTTTCATAGTTTCTAGGGTCGGAAGGGAC